GAGCCCTTCTCCAAAGTCTCTGTGCTTCTAACGATCGCTCAGGTCCTTTCCGGGAAGGCTGTTCCCAGGTCGGGAGAAGAGCGGGCTATGGCACTTGCAGGGGTAGGGGGCTCTCCCACCACCGCTGGCATAACTCGGGCCTCCCACAGTCAGACCTTGAAGGCCAGAGCGAGCTCCTCGCTCCAAGTTTCTACCAACCTTGGGGAGCCAACCCAGCGCCGCTGCCCCGTGCTGCTCCTCATGGGAGCGTGGGACCTGGGTCTGGTTCTAAAACAGGAGGGCCATGTCCTTTCTCAGGGACTCTCCGAGGGAAACAGGGCAGGGCCGCTCTGGAACTGGGCTTCGGAGATCCTTTCTAAGGCATCCTACACTCAGTACCGGAAGAACCCCGCGCAGGCAGCAGAACAGCTGTTCTCCACAATCTTGCTGTCCTCAAAATCCACCCCATCAGGGATCTAAAAGGCAAAGGTGAGAGTCTTATGTGGGTCTTTCAGGACCTTGCACATACATTTTCGCCATGTTAGCATTTGGTCACCACGGTGCTAAGTGACTCCCAGGCTTCAAAACTATTCCCACAGCCTTGAGCCATTCACTGTCTCATTACTGTTTCAAATTCACAAAAATCTAGAATGAAAGACTGAGTGACTCAAGATGCACCATTTCCCTGCTCACTGGTCTGCCTCACCCCAGAGACTGGGAACTACTCTTTCCCCTGAAGAAAGAGGGTATATCTTCCACCCCTCTGGGACATTCAAAAAGCCACTGTGAAGAGATCAGCCCCCCACTTGCTCCTTTCCCAAAAGGTCTGCTCAAGTGTGGATTCAGAGCTGCTATCCTGTTTGACTATCTCTTCTTTTCTCTTTCTCTGTCCTCAACCTCTCAGACTGTCTTTCCCTTTGGGTCTTTTATGCTGTTATCTTTGCAGCCCCCTGGTCAGCCTGGGATGGGAGGGAGAGGGTTAAGATTTCTGCAAATGTGGCTTGTAAAGCGGCTTGGATACATTAGAAACACATGAATATCCTGAAATACAAAGTGTCTTTAGAATCAACCAAAGAACGTTTATCTTAATGCTGGATGGATGCAAAGAAATAGTGCCAGGGAACAGTGCTGACAGCCTCCTTCCAATTAAAGTGAGAGCAGGTAAATTTCATTTGCTAATGAAAATCAAACTTGATTAAAACTTGTTTTCCCTTTGTCCTTTTTTCTTCCAACCTGGGGAGGCCAAGGCCCCATGGACCAGGCTGGCACTGGGTCTCCCACCTAGAAAAACCCAGCCAAGTGCTTTCTTCAATAGGCAACTTCAGGGCAGCAAGCCCTGCGGGATGCCCTGGTCTACTCTAGGAGGTAAGAAGCTTTGTTAGCCAAGATGTTTTGGAGCAGGAGAAAAGCTCTGGCAACTCCTTGAACAAAGATTGTGCTACAGCCACCACCGCCCTCTTGTCCTGCCGGCACTGCCCTCTCAGGGTTCCTCCAAAGAAATCTGGGCACACAAGACAGAGTCTGGAAAGTGACCACTGCATCTTACACCTCTAAGCTTTCTGTTTGGCTCTCTTGCTCAAGGGGCCCCTGCTGCCCACAGATCCTACTGGCTCCCCAGCCTAACCTACAAGGAGTCTGAAGATAAAATTGTCAAGTTGATGGTGCCTCCCTACAAATTTATAGAAATTCTGAGCCTCGAGGACAAAAAATCCGAGGGACAGACAACTTTGAAGGTCAGGCCCCACTAGCTGGCGAGGCAAGCAAATCTTGACCTTGCCACTGGGAAAAGAAGAATGCTGGGAGTATCTGTTCTTGCTTCTGCAAGTACCCTCCAGCCTTCATTGCCCTTCTTTTTCCACAGCAAGCCAGTCTGGTGGCTGCTTGGCAGGAAAAGAAATCATATTGGGAACCATTAATAAATATTGCATTGCCCTCAGCAGAAAATGGGGAGGAGGATTGTTTTTGCTTCAAAGTGAGTAGAAATTCTAGAAACCCAGACCCCAAATTATTCACAAAGCTTGTTTGCTTCCACTGATTGACGGCTACATGTAGACATTTTAAAACAGTGGAGGCATTGAAGGACACCATTGACATGCCTGATAGAAAAATCACATCCTATACATTGAGATTCAAAACAAGAAAGGAACACGAAGGGTGCCTTCCTCTTACTGACCATGTCCTGAAAGTTTAAAAATTATCAATAGGGATACAAGGAGAACTAAGAAAATATCCAGATAATTTATCACTAAAGGCACACCATTTATCTGAAATAATTCAGGTACCAAGACCATCCATGGCAGGGGCACCATGGTTAGGGAGTAAGTCTGAATTCCAGATTCAATCCAAAACCTTCACCCACCCTCAATCCCCACTCCACATCAGCCCTCCCAGACAAACCTGCGTGTGGCTCTTCAGCGGACAAGACGAAATCTCATCTCACCATTTTTGGTGAGGAGGGACCCAGTCGACTCTGGCAGCCTATGGAGCTGAAGCTCTTCTTCTGCTGGGTTCGGGGCTCCAGAGAAGTGGGAGGGGGGGAAGAATGCGGAGCTGGCCTTGGCCCCTGTGTGCACCCGGAGCTGCGCGATGGCCAGAGATGAGCTGGCACAGGCGCCAGCTAGTGGGGGCTCCCCAAACTGTGTTTTCGTTTTTCTGGGTCTGGCTGGAAAACAGAAGAGCCTTAAAGCCCAGCCAAGAGCAGGGCGGAGGCAGAGAAGAAGAGCCGGTAAACACCGCCCCAAAAACTCCACGAAGGCATCGAAAAATGCTAGGTAGCCAAACAGACCCGGAAAGGAGAATACCAAAGGGAAAGAGAATTAAGAGTGAGAGGAGGTGGGCAGTGTGGGCCTTTCCAGCTGCCTGGGTCTCCAGGCTTGCCTGGCTGTTCTCACAACTGGCTAGACTGCAACTTTCAACTTGACCTTGGCCTCCAGCCGTGTCTGACCCGTATGTAAAACTGCCTTGAATCCCCAGGAACTGGGGCCTCAAACCCTACTCTGTCTCTTTGTCACTGTGAGTTTTACAATGCCACTTGGAGGGAGGAGGGGAGGGCAGCAAAAGGGCCGGAAAGTAACACAAAAATCAAATCCCTAAGAGCCCGGTTCCTTAGTCTGCAAAATGGCCAGAGAGAAGGTAAACGGGGGGGCAAATCAATATTTACTCAGAACTGCTAAAAAGTCAAGAAGGAAAGGGCACACTGGGGTGGTTAAGGGGCTGGGGGAGGCTGTCTAGAAGGTTTTATTGGGCGACACTTACATTGGTCAGGGCAAACCTGGGATCAGGGCAGATAAAAGCCCTAGCCCAGCCACATATACTCTCTAAACCCCTGCAGGAAGCCTAAGGGGCTTAGAGAGTATACAGGAGAGAGGGATGATATGCTCAGTGCCTTGAGCTTAGGGCTCAGTCTGCAAGCTGGGACCAGAGAGCAGGTCCAAGCCTGGCTGCTCACCAGTCCAGTCTGTCTGGAGTGGAAGGAAATCCAGCACTCTCCCAGCTCTGATGTTCCTGTAATGCGCCCACTTTCACTTTGAATGCTTGTTCTCCTTCCAGGCATCAGACTAACTCACAGTATCAAAATTGAAAGTGGGAATCTATCAGTATATCTCCCTAAAGCAGGAGGACCCCCGGAATCCCTCCCCAAAACATGGAACTGGAAAAGGGGAGCACACGGAATGGAAAAGGGGAGCACTACTTAGCTCTTTTAGCACCAACACTCCATCATGCTCCAAAAAAAAGGGTCGCATTTCCCAGGCACAAAGGAGAGGCTTCTTGAGCTGGTTCTTGGGCAAAGGAGAACTGGCCACTCTCTGCAGGCTGGAGATCCTACGTGAAGGGAAGGCAGGAAGTAGCCCCAAAGAGCCCCCTCTCTCCCAAAATGAAGTAAAATAGTGGGTTCCTAGGTGTGTTGAGAGTCAGATCCCATTTTTGCTCTATAAAGCTGACGGTGTTAGGCCCAGAAGAGGGGATCCAGTACCACCAGTCAGTAGCCCAGCTGAAGCCTGTTCCTCTTAAGCCAGACTGTCCATGTAGGACCGTGGGTGAATGGTGCACAAAGACCGCTCTCTCCATCTCAAAGTCTCTGGAGGAGGAAGAGTGAGGAACAGGCTGTATACGTAAGTGTGTGCATTTGAGTGCACCAGTGTACATTCAGTGGGTGTGTGCGATTGTGAGGTGTGATAAGTTGTTCTAAGTCTGTGGGCCTAAATGCAAGTATATGAAATTGGCCACTAACGCTTGGACAGGGAAAGGAAGGGGACTCATAAATGCAGTCCAGGCTTTCCATTCGAATATCCTGGAACCCATAAGCTAGGCGTATCCGCAGAAACCCACAGCAGCAAACGCCCTGCCACTGTTCCCCAGGAAAGAGAGCCAAATTGCGACGCTGTTGAATCCGAAAGCACCGATGTCCGCCCTAGGGTCTGGCTGCAGAAAGACGCGGGGATTCCTGGAAAGAAAACAGCCCCAGAGGTCCCAATAAACACCCAGCCTCAGCTAGGCTGGCTCTGTCCTCGCCGCCCTCCCATCTCTGGCCTCCAGCAGATTTCCCTGACCTGTCCCTACCGCCTTAGGTCTCAACCCAATCACGCACCACCTCCCTTCCCTGCCTGGTTGCGCGGGTCTGGGCCCCACTGGGATAAGGGAAGGGAAGGGGGACGGCGAGGGGACTGGACTTCTCTCTGTGCCCCACCCGCATGATCCTCCGCCCCCACCCTCCCGCTTTCCCCGCCTCTCCCCTGGTTGAATAGTGCGTGGCCGCGGGGCTGACGCTGGCGGTGGGGACCCCGCGAACTGCGGCGGGGACCGCGGGTGCACAGCGCAGAGCGGGAGTAGGAACCGCCCGCTTTGCATACGCCGTGGGCGGAGCGGGGGGGGGGCCGGGCCAATGGGCGGCCGCCTGGCGCGACCCCGCGGGGCGCGATCCGCCCCCCTCGCTCGGGCCCCGGCCCCGCGCCGCGCGCTCTTCACTTCTTGGGGGCTTTTTAAAACAGCGCCACTGGGGTCTTCTCCATGCGGCTCGGGCTATGACAGCCTCCGTGCTCCTCCACCCCCGCTGGATCGAGCCCACCGTCATGTTTCTCTACGACAACGGCGGCGGCCTGGTCGCCGACGAGCTCAACAAGAACATGGAAGGGGCGGCG